TATCGTTTTTTTTAACTTCTAAATCAATAAATAGTTCTCTTTCTCATCCCACCCTTTTGTTAAGAGGAAAGGATAGGAAGGGGATGGAGATCTGAATGAGGAGGCGATGCATAAGAAAAGCAAATATTATCTTTCTTTGCGTACACTCCTCCGTCGATCAAATTCGTCGAATTCAAGTATCAACTCACTCATTTGCCACCTTGTAATAAAAAAATAAAGCGTAAGTAGTCTGCTTTTTTTATTTTGTGAGGAAGACTGATTATTTATTTTATCACGTAAGGTGGCTAGTATTTTGTCTGGCACTCACCTGACGTAACGTAGAACTTCTAAATCACGACTGTCTTCTGTATGGTTGGTGTATTGCACTGGTCACGTAAATTATTTGCGGAGTTTTTTTTAATAACCCACAAATCACAACCGCTCAGTTCTTCACCTAATACGCTACCTTCGCAAAAACTAACAAGAGCCATGCATTACGCTCTATTTGTATTTCAGAATACCTCACTCAATGGTATACCATACGAAGCTTATCGATATAAATACATTAACATAAATAATAATATAAATATATCTAATTGCAATTTGTAATGTAGAGTAAGAAGAAGATAAACATAAATAAATAATTTAAAGTATTGACTTGGAATAATAGTGTAATTTATAACTTTTCGCATATAATATAGCGTATTTTAGTTAATTATTCGTTTTTAATATGTAATATCATCGATTTAAGACTCATTTAATTCATATTGTTAATTTTTTTATATCATAAGGTGGTAAACGAGCGAGCGGCCACCTGAAATCGCTGATATAGCGAAGTGACCGTTGCCCATAGACATATGCAATTGCATATGCGTTGCCTACCTTTAATCGACAGAGAAGAGGATGCACAGAAAGAAAATATATTCCCTTTCCATGCATCCTCTCATCCGGAAAGACCACTTCCACTTCCCATCCTTTCCTTATAGGAAAAAAGGTGGGAAGGGAATGAGGACTAATTTAGGCCTCCGGGACGCACACTCATCAGACGAAACGCGGAATTGCATCCACTTGACGCCTGTCTTCTGTGTGGTCGTGGTATTTCACCGGGCGAGCCGTGACAATTCATGCGAAGATGTTAAAGCGGGCTCTACCACTGTTAAAAATTCTCAGTGTTATATCAACATCGAGTTTAAGCATTTTTCTACATTAACGTATGTTGTCATATTATAATTTTATTTATTTATTTAATAACTGAAAACCTATATTAATAATGATAGTTTTCGCATATGGAATAATTCATCAAATAATTATTCTGTGGTAATTTATCTACTAATATTTTGCATAGGAATATAGTATGTCCATAATTATATTATTTATTTATGTTATATAGCGTATTTAGATTATAATATCTCGTCATCATATAACCTAAATTTAATTGGACAACTGATCTGTTCCAATTAGATGGCTATTTAATTTCACGAACATAATTCAAATCACAGGATATAAATATGATTTTAACTGAAGCCCGCGACTCCGTCCGCGCGGAATTCAAAAATAAATTATTTAGTAGCCTATGTTTTTTTCAAACATCTATGCAATTTGAGCGGGATGCATGTAGGCTTTCTGGAGATACCTTCTTACAAAAATCCATTTAAACATTCGCATTTATAATATTAGTAAGATATTTTAGTTAGTAACAGTTGTCATAATGCGGTTATTTGTAACGAAGGTGGTTGAACGTGCAAATATTTATGTAGCAAATATTCAGGTGTCCGAAAAATAAGGGCATGTACACACCCGCATCATATGTGTACAAAAAGCAATGATACTGTTAAAAGTATTTATTGATAATAGAAATGTAGCGGACTTATGACAATTAAATGGACTGGAATACTGTCGGTTACTTGTTTTAGTTCTTGTGAATAATTGGAATAAATAAAATACTATTATATTTCACCTCGGATTTCCGAGTCCAAAATCCCCGTTTAAATATTATCTTTGATTTATCAACGATAAAAGACAGGGATGACTATATGTGTTATACAGAGATTTTGGTGTGAGAAACCCACGGTAAGTCCCGAAATTTCACACAGTTCTTTTTCTTGGTGATATGGAGGTGTATTTTGTTGCATCTTTTTAAAGAGGTCACAATATCAGTGTATTTAAGGCGGCCTAAAAACCTAGATCGAACTAAAAAAATATCTATCTACGTAGCTTAGGGCTATGGTATTTTTTCTTGACATTCATAACTTTTAAGAAATAGTCAGACGACTTTACCTAGACTACAGGTTCTAAGGTTTTTTCTTTCTATTCTATCGTTTTTATTTCCTCATTCTTGTCAAAGATAATGAGGTATATGAAGTTTCATAATTTTTTAAGCAGTTAACACCCACAAACAATTTCTCACCTTTCAAACATTTTTATATAACACTAGCTGTCGCCCGCGACTTCGTCTGCGAGATATTTAAAAATAGATAGTAGCCGATTCTCAGACTATTGAATATGTATATAAAATTTCATAAAAATCGATCAAACCGTTTCAGAGGAATATGGTTACTAACTGTGACAAGAGAATTTTAAATATCAGCTTAAAATAGAAGCTTAATTTAGCTTTTGGGTGTTAATATTAATCTCTGAGAATTTTTTTTTTCGTCAAATAATTTTTCAAATCGCTTTGTTAGTACAGTATTGGAAATAAGTCTTCTATTTATATTACAATATATAAAGCTTCATGTAACTATTGTATAAAGTTAGTTTGCATCGAGATCAACCCTTTGTAACTCAGATATAGATTATGTAAGTACTATGTAAGAGTAGAGCAGGAACTCAGGAAGTACCCAGTCCGGCCGCGGCCGTCGCGGGAGACGGGTCTTTACTCCCGATTCCAGATGAAAAAAAAAAAACAAAACTTGTCAATTATCTTGTCAAATTGTATTTATCAACGGAAATATATTATTTTTGTTATATAATGTTTTATAAAGTGTGCAAATGTATGTGATAAGTTTATTCCGCACTGCTATCTCTATATTTATATCATTTTATGATAAGAGTTTGATAAGCGATTATCATCTTTATTGCAATCAGAATAAGGACATTTGATATTGATCATAAGAATCTTTTCCGTGTACAGTTGTTGCAATGATTGTGACGTGCGACTGACGTGTTACCATAAATTAAGTGTTTTTTTTAATAAATAGTTTGATTATTAAAGGCCAGTATTAAATTATGAAAAAATAAATCTAAGCTTTCTTGATTTTATAATTATTACGAAGATTATTTATTTCGTATCTTTTAAATTCGTAAACTTAAAATTAATATTCTTCCATTTAATATTTAATTAAACTTGACTTAAAGTTTTGATTGAAGTGTAGAAAGTTTGGTGTTAAATGAAAGAGATTTACAATGGAATTTCTAAGAATAGCTCTGGTGCCTTTAGCCCTAACGATTGGGCTCACCTGTTTGAATGTTAAGAAGTAAGTTAATTTTTAACCGTAGAGTTACACACCCGATTTTCTTAACGTACTTAAAATCGAAACATTGCCTTATTACTTTCTCAAAATGCTTCTTTAGTCAAAACCATTTATAAAGGTGAGGATAGACTAGAGCATTTACTTGTATCAGAACAACGGGCTGTATATGTATCATCCATTCATGAACCACATTTGCTTTGGAAACTGTTCGTTTACCATTCGTATGAACATTACATTATATTGAGATGGTCTAGAAAACGTCCTAGTGTATCACCTTTAGACAAACAATAATTATTTGTCTTGAAGTACAGTCAGCTGCTTAAATGTATACATTTATAATGCTTCAGAAATTTGTAAGGCCTTGGGTTTCAGAAATTTATATGCTCAAACTGGTTAGTATGCTTCTAACCGTCATACTAATGAAGAATACATGTATACGTATTTTTAAAACCGAATGCATATACAAGTTTGTAAAGTTTCATAAATGTATACATTTATCCATTATTTATTTCTAACGGTGAAGGAATACATCGTGATGAAATCTGCACATATCTGAGAAGAAATTCAAAAATATGTGTGAAGTCAACCAACCCGCACTGGTCCAGCGTGGTTGACTATAGTCTAATCACCCTTAACTTAGGGTAGGCTCCGAGTCCTTCAGTGGGGACGTATAGTAAGCTGATGATATATATACATTTATGCACCTGACTGTACAATATAACAATCTACTTGTATAATTATATTTCTCCAATACTGATACTTAGAAGACACATACTCGAGTTGACATAAGAATGTAGTGTAGTGTTATAGAAACCTCTGACATTATTAACATTCCAGCCGATCTCACCCGCAATAAGATTAAACGCGTTGACAAGGAAACTATTTATTCTAGGAACTATAGCTACGATTATATAATACCTACTCTCTGATATAATTGTTTAATGAGATATGAATATGTTATGGTTCTTGAGAGTAATATTCTCATCATCAACCTGCCCTTATCCCTATCGAGGGTCGGCACAGTATGTACTACTCCTCCATACATCTCTATCAGCCGTCATATCCGAGTCTACCCCCTTCTTACGTATATCCGCTTTCACACAGTCATTCCATACTTTTTTGGTCTTTTTTTTCTTGAGAGTAATATTCTATCTTTTACAATTGCAGTGTTCAAATTTTAGTCGTTAAACGAATAGATTACTCTAATCATGTAGGTTCTTCAATCTTCAAGATTTCTCATCTACACTAAGTAAACTAAGAGGCCTCTTAGTGTCTATATCATCACTAAGTGTAGCTGTAAGTGTAACGGCCAAATACTGAAGGGAATCATAAAGTAAACATCGCTTACACGATTGTAATTGTCCATTGAAATTTTTAAGTCTTGATATCGATCATCGGAAATGATTTGTTTGCGTGGCATTATTATTTAAGATGCTATTACATTATTAAATAATACTTAGACTCATAATAAAAAAAACTGTTTCAGTTTTGTCGAAATTATTACTAACAATTATTGCTACGGATCTAATTATTATTATTCTTGTTTACCAGGAACTCTTACAGTAGAAGAGGTGTACCGAGACCGGGACCAGTTCGCGGGTCTGGTACGCGAGGTGGCGGCGCCCGACGTCGGTCGGATGGGCATCGAGATCCTGTCCTTCACGATCAAGGACGTGTACGATGACGTGCAATATTTGGCCAGTCTTGGCAAGGCGCAGACGGCGGTGGTGAAGCGCGACGCCAATATCGGAGTCGCACAGGCCAATAGAGACGCGGGTATCAGGGTATGTAATATACAGGATGTCCGGAAATGACACGTACAACGGAGTACCATGGATTCCTTGGTCGAAAATATGACGATTTAACCCAATTTACCTCTATCCAGTGCTTCGTTTAGTTTCTAGAAGGTTTTAAAATTTGCAAATTGTTTAACATTTATCCAAATGTCTCTGGTACTTGTACACTACATTCCCGGACACCCTATAGAACAAAAATAAGCTAAGCAAACCAAAGACATTAAACAATGTAACAATAGAAAGGACACGAACTATATTGCTCTTGTTGCATCTCAATTGTCTTTTTTACATCATTTATATATTTGTAATAATATAATCAATGTTGCTAAATAATGAAGAATATTCCTTTAAGAATATATCTACAAACGCTTCACGTTTGCCTGTACCGATAAATCAATAGTTTGTATGTCACTAGGTCTTTGACTTGTGTCATGCACTGTACACAACGATTCGATGAATGAAATATGAGAAAATATTTACATTGATGTATTTATGATACTATTTTTATCATTTAATAATCATTATTATTTTGTTTATTTCTCGAAAAACTAAAAAGAAATATTTATAAGTTTTAATTAGAAAAAAAACACGATAGGAGTCTCCCATCCATCGTCGTGAAATTCAAAGAAAATTACGATACAAACTACACTATCTCCCAAGTTGTGTCAAATTACAGATACTTAATTTGTTAAGAATACTACATTACTAAATTACTGCGAACATACATCGTGACACGAACTTTTTTATATATAGATTAAGGTCAATGGCTCTTGTTCACGACAATTAAGGTCAAGAATGAAGCTGGGATTCGTCTCTATAATTGAACAAGATATTTCTTACAATGAAACAGAATCCAATTATGAATATTATATTAATACTAACTTTTGTCTGCCACTCCGGCTGCACAGTATTAAAAAAATTAGTAGCCTTCATGTTCTTCCAAACTGTTTTATATCATAAGGTGACAAACGAGCAAGCGGCCACCTCAAATCGCTGAAGTAGCCGTTGCCCATATACAAACGCAATTGCATTTGCGTTGCCTACCCTTAATCGACGTAGGAGAGGATGCACAGAAAGAAAATATTTTCCCTTTCCATGCATCCTCTCATCCGGAAAGTCCACTTCCACTTACCATCATTTCCTTATAAGAAAAGGGTGGGAGGGGAAAGAGGACTAAATTAGGCCCCCGGGACGCACACTCATCAGACGAAACGCGGAACTGCTTCCACTTCAAGCTTGTTTTCTGTGTGGTGTTGGTATTTTATCGGGCGAACCTGGCCAATTCGTGCGAAGATGTTAAAGCGGGTTCTACCACTCTTAAAGGCTGTTTTCTAAATCCATGCCAAATTACAGCGAGACTAGTTAAGTCGTTCTTTATATATATAACAACTACGAATCAATCTACGATGTTTGTTTGATATTTATTTTTCTTATTTAATATTATATTGAACATTTGTATTTCTTATCCAACTCTTAATTAAACTACATTTTATGATGAAATTAATTTAACCATTATTGCTGTTTGTTTGCGGCCGCCATCAACACCCGCGATAGTAAACAAACCTTCTTAACCTCAAGATAATAAACCTTAAGCCAGGATCGTTAAAATCGTTATTATGTTAGATTTTTATCGTTTTATGTCCGGTTTATCTTTGTCTTAACTCACTTTCTCCTATTTTATTTCTACTTCCCTGTCAATACAGTTACGAAAAAATATGTCATCTCTCAAATTCTCTTTCAAAACTGTAATAATTCTTGTACTAATATTTAGAAATTAGAGATAATTGTAAGTGCATACGAAATAAACATATAAACGGCTAAACAATCGCGTACTTTTTGGTGTCGGTTAAGCCCATTGAGGCCCTACATCATGATGAGTAGGACTGGTATTATTTCACCGTCGTTGACCGACGGGCCGCGTCTGTGCAATACCAGTCTCACCCTGATGAAGGGCTCCGATGGGTTTAAATCTAATCGGTGCCGACACCGAACAAATATGTGAGCGTCTTACCGATAAGTTTATAATCTCTCACGATAGTTAAAATAATTTGAAATTCGAATTGTTCAATTGTAGGAAGCGGAATGCGAGAAGAGTGCAATGGATGTGAAGTACGCGACGGACACCAAGATAGAGGACAACAACAGGATGTTCAAGCTGCAGAAAGCGCAGTTCGATCAGGAGATAAACACCGCTGTGAGTTTACAATTCCTTTAAACAACACCTCGTTTCAATCCAATGAGGAATTTAAACAAATAGAGAAACATTAAATTCTATACATAATGTTTATTTTTTCAGTATTGCAGTTGTTTTGTGAAATTTGTTGGATAAAATTAGGTGATATTCCAAAATAAGTAAGTTGTTTTGTTTTAATTTCTAGAAAGCAGAATCAGCTTTGGCGTACGAACTTCAAGCTGCTAAAATCAAGCAGAAAATCCGTAACGAAGAAATTCAGATCGAAGTTGTCGAACGACGAAAGCAAATTGAGGTATTTTTACATTTTCTACTAATACTATATTGTTGTATTGTGTACTAGCCGTCGCCCGCGTTTCTGTCCGCGCGGAATTAAAAAACAAACGTTATTAGTAGCCTATGTGTCCTTCCAGACTGTAGTCTACATGTATGCCAAATTTTCACCAAGATCCGTTGAGCTGTTCCTTCCTCACTTTTTCATAGATTAGTTCTAACCAGAACCATAGTGTAGATTAATAACATTTTACTTTAAATTTAACTACAATGCTATCTAGTTACTAACGTGTGTAACTTATTTGCTCAGGTGGAGCAACAAGAGATTCTGCGTCGTGAAGAGGAGCTGGTGTCGACGGTGCGGCTGCCCGCTGAGGCGGAGGCTTACCGCCTGCAGGCCATCGCTGAAGGAAAACGGTAATTTGAACAAATGGATGTTAACAAAGTTTATTTTCAGTTGCTAAACCTTGAGTATTATCATTGCCTTCTCAAGAATTTCTATCATATTTTATAATAATATACGGTTAACCTAGACTTTTATCTTGTAGTTCTGACTATCCTTTATTAGGAAAGTAACCAATTATACATAATAACACTATTTAATAAGAAATAGCTTTTGCGTCGGATCCGTCCGCGCGAAAAAATAAGGAAACGGGATAAAAATTTAGTGTCCCTCTTCTAGTTCTTAAGCTACCTTTCCCCCAATTTTCAGCCAAATCTGTTAAACCGTTCTAGAATTATAAATTGTGTAATTAGCCCAACTTTCTTCATCACATACCATCATGTATACGTTGATGGGATATTCTTCTAACTTTTAAATTATGAATTGAATCGAAGAGTAACATCTTGTATCCAGAACTCAAACAGTGGAAGCTGCGAAGGCAGACGCGGAACGTATAAAAGTGCTGGGTCTTGCGGAGGCGACTGCTATAGGCGACGTTGGCAAGGCTGACGCGGAGCGAATGCTGGCCAAGGCTAAAGTCTACAAGCAGTATGGAGATGCTGCCATCATGGCGCTCGTGCTTGAAGCTCTGCCCAAGGTACGTTATATACTATCAAGATAAAGTGGTAGAGCCCGCTTTAACATCTTCGCACGAATTGTCCCGGCTCGTCCGGAGAAATACCACGACCACACAGAAGGCAGGCGTCAAGTGGAAGCAATTCCGCGTTTCGTCTGATGAGTGTGTGTCCCGGAGGCCTAATTTAGTCCTCTTTCCCTTCCCACCCTTTTTCTTATAAGGAAAGGATGGGAAGTGGAAGTGGACTTTCCGGATCAGAGGATGCATGGAAAGGGAAAATATTTTCTTTCTGTGCATCCTCTCCTCCGTCGATTAAAGGTAGGCAACGCATATGCAATTGCGTATGTCTATGGGCAACGGTCACTTCGCTATTTCAGCGATTTCAGGTGGCCGCTCGCTCGTTTGCCCACGTTATGATATATATAAAAAAAAGTAGAGTTAAAGTCTAAAATTGTTAAGTCGAAATCCTCAGTATATTGAAAATGCCCATCCCTTCCGCCGAACCCTCGAATTCTCTGCATCTCTTATTATTTAGTAAGTAGTCCCGTAATAAATAACCAACAGCTTGAAAATTTAATTTTATGTTAAGCTATGATTTATTTGAAAGATAACATGCAAAAGACTCTCTCTCATCTTTCCCTTACCATCATTTTTCTTATAAGGGTTTTGAAAGACGAAAGGAAGCATAAGAAGAGGAAATTTTCTCTTTCTGTGATCGTTCTTCATTACATAAAAGTAAACAACGCATCTGCAATTGCGTATGTCTATGGGCTTGGCTATTTTGGCGAATTCAAGTGGTTGCTCGTTTGCCACAAAAAAACTGTCCGTATGTAAGAACGCCCGTGGCTCAGGAGTTTAAGCGCTTGATTTGCAATCTGCAGGTCCTGGGTTCGAATCCCGACATGTACCATATCTTACGGTGAAGGAAAACATCGTGTTGCAACCTGCACATATCTGCGAAACTCAAAGATATGTGTGAAGTCAACCCGCACTGGGCCAGCGTGGTTGACTATAGCCTAGGGACCCCTAACTTAGGGTAGTCTCCGAGCTCCTCAATGGGGACGTATAAGTGAGCTGATAATATTTGTGCAATTATCTGACTAGATCGCAGCTGAAGTGTCTGCACCGCTGGCTAAGACAGACGAGATAGTGTTGGTGGGTGACAGCGGGGCGACGGGTGAGGTGGCGCGTCTCGCCGGCGGCATTCCGCCCGCGCTCAAAACTCTCACAGGACTCGACATCTCTCAAGTACTCAAGCGTCTGCATCCTAATGCCTCGCCAGGTAAGAAATTATATTTTTTTAGTTCAATTACGAAAAAATACTTAGTCTTAACGATCCAAAATCACACGCACTTGCAAAGAAAACTTTTGATTTGTGTTTTTGATTGAAAAGAAAAAAAATATTTTATTTTTTTATTGTGCACTTACGGTTTTTGCTTTCAGAGTTTTATCATACCTTTGTACCCTTTAGCGAGCTGATGATGATGATAAAAATAGTTTTTTTTTTTTAAATTAAGTTGATGATATTTTTTCCGCAGATGAAAATCTCTTGGCTTCTGCGAGTAAGAAGAAAGAAGTCGTGGCTTGTTGAATTTACTCATCTGTATGTCAATATGTTTGTCAACTTTTTACTATATTTTATTGGTGCCATATTGTCAAATAATTATACTTTTCTAAAATATATTCATTATAATGTAATTTTTTTTTGTAATTCAATAAAAAAAATCGTCTTCAACTTGTACTCAAAAATGTTTTACAGCAAACTTAATCGTAATTTTATTTAATATTCTGATACTTGACATTTAATTTAAAAAAAATGTAAAAAAATGTTTATCGGATTAAAAAACTTTCTAAAAAATCGAGAATAATCAAATCATAATTATTTTTATTTATTAAAATCTTATACGCATTTGATTTTTTTATATGCAAATTTTTCCAAAATACAATTCTTAACGATATGACATATGGACAAATCCATTTTTAATACCACCGTCTCAATTATAAGAACAAAGTAATATATTTGTATTTTAGACTAAAACTTATTTACCATCAGTTGGCAAAGTTTTAAAAAATCTTTATAAATCTTGTAAATATATTGCTATCCCTTTCACTCTCGTTGGAGGAATAGAGACGGTAATATGTTTTCAATGTGTGCGTAGAAATACGGGGTTCTAAGAGTTTGAAAGTAACACAAGTGCAAGCTGCAAAAAGTATCCCTGCTGTCTTAACCTAAGGCAAGTTATAAATACAGTTCAACCTGGATAAGCTAAAGTCCAAGATCGCGTCTTTTTTTAATCATGAGGTGTCAAACGAGCGAGCGGCCACCTGAAATCGCTGAAATAGCGAAGTGACCATTGCCCATGGACATACGCAATTGCATATGCGTTGCCTACCTTTAATCGACGGAAGAGAGGTTCACAGAAACAAAATATTCTTATAACTTCCACTTCCCCTCCTTTCCTTAAAGAAAAAGGGTGGGAATGGAAAGAGGACTAAATTAGGCCTCCGGGACGCACACTCATCAGACGAAACGCGGAATTACTTCCACTTGACGCCTGTCTTCTGAGTGGTCGTGGTATTTCACCGGGCGAGCCTGGTCAATTCGCGCGAAGATGTTAAAGCGAACTCTACCATTCTTTTCTCGCTAATAGAGGTTTCTCTCTAACCCGAGTTTCTCCCTTATGGATGTCGTCCGTAAATACCGGACAATGACTCTCACTTAAAAAGGTTTCTCGCTTAACTTTATTCGACTGTAATAGTTCAAAGTTTATGTAGAGTTGTCTCATGAATAATGTTTTATGGAAAGCTAAAAGCCTTTTTCCACTAAAATGTTAGCTGTGCTGTTACGGATAAGGTCTCTCAAACAAGAGAAAGAGGTCAAGAGAATGGATTTATGAATGATTTTTTTTTTTTATCAACTGATGGTAAATTTTATGATATTTAGCAGCTAGATATTATGGTAGATTTTTTACAATTGTATCAATGGTGTTCTTAAAGGCCACTGCCTATATATCGTAGATTTTGATGGTGTGTACATTTTATTCCCGATTTCAAAAAAAAAATGTTCTTAGATGTTTGACATTTTATAAAAATTGTAGTTTTTTTGCGAGTGGTTTGACAAGTGTGATTCAATTATTAATACTTATATTTATTTTAATAATTAATTATAATAAAGCATTTATATTGCGCACATTTTTTTGGATTTTAAATTGTATTCGTATATTCGCATTATTAGTTTTTATTAAAAGATATATTTGTAATAATTATTAATTTGAAGTAATAAAGTGTATACTAATTGTTGTGTTTTAAATTATCCATAACCTAAAAACAAAATAACTTATTACCGAGTGTGCTTGAGCTACAGTGGGTAGTACTAAAACGAAGTCAATAATCTGTCATTTCTATCCGAGCCGTCGAGAAGAGCAGAAGTCTGTCGTACTGTTTACTAAGCCCCTATTCTGAAACTAACCGACATTGACAACGAGGCAAATAGTACGAATTTTAAAACAATTTAATAAGAAAAAAGAACTACATTACTGCATCTGTAATCCATTTTCCTATTTGTTGTTCGAAATACAATTCTGGCAAATTTAATAACAGTTTGGTTTGTTGAATGCACACATTGCATTGTTTCTAAAACTGGGCCGCGGCTTGCGAATTCTAAACAAAACAAACATATGAACTTTACACGTTTACAAAACAGCTATTAATCTTTAATATTTATTTTGGAAGACAAATATTTAGCGTCTTCATACGTGTATACTTGAATTGTTATTTTATGTGAATCCAAAATTATTTCAATGTTTAGTTTGTAAAGGAAATTTTCAATTATTCCTCTTTTACATCAAAAAACGAAAGTAGGTTAACTTTTGTTCATTTCGATGTCTGCTTCTCGAATAGCAAAGCAATCTTTTCACTTGCTGACTTGTAAAGATTACGATTGTCAACCAAAAATGCATACACAACAATAAAATCTCTCTTAAATAAAGAAGAAATAAAAATAGTTTTGCTCGGCCATCGTTTAAAAAGAAAATCATTTAAAAAAATAACCTGATCTACTCCGATGCATTCTTTGTTCTAACTAATGACGTCACGCATTGGTCGATACAAAGAACATAAGACTAATAGAGCATTATAAAGTTAGATATGTCGTTCTTTGTCTGTCATTTTGTCTCTAGATAGAATGTTGTTCCTTTACTGCAGTATAAACATAAATACGCAATAAAGATATATAAATAATTTGGTATTTAAAAGTGCTTTGTGACGTCTGTGGACTACGGCAATCAAGTTTTTACCTTTTTTTTTTGGGTATCAGGGGGGAAATCTTCGTAAGATACCCTGCCTTTTGGGGGAAAGACAGGATTATGTGAGACTCTTACTCACTAAAACCCCCTCGGTGGCCAACCTCAAATGCGTCTGCGAGGGTCCCGGGATCTCCAAAGGAACGCACCGGAACAATCAAGTTTTTACCTACCAATTTTTACTTTATGACATCGTAATGTCTAAAAATTCTGTTTTACTAGACTCTTAATTTAATTACATTGTGTTAAATTTAAATGGAAATATGCATGACAAAATTGATTAAGTTTTTCTTATCAATAATTATTTTTATCGACTGCAAGTTAAATCTTTTCACGTCTTGAAGTATACACAAATTACGTAACGTCTGGCAACACTGTAGTTTTAGTTTATTTTACTTTGATAAGTAATTGCATTTCCAAGTATCGATCTAAACGTTCACAAAGCTCTTCGGCAAATTGTTCCCGACCATCACTTTGCAACAGACATTTTCTTTATAATTTTTTAAGCAACTGTTTTCTTAAAATTTGCGGATAAAAGAGCCTTTATTAAAAAGATGTACTAACCAGGTGTGTCAGGGTTAGATCATTGAGTGAAGAAGTGTTTAGTAGATTTACGAAGTCTACTTTTTTTAGTTTAAAGCAGTTTTTTCTAATAAAAACCTTTTGATCAAAAAAAAATCGAAATCAGAGCACCAGGTGCGGAGTTACGCGGTAACACACGAAAAAACATACAGACGAATTGATAACCTGCTTTTTGAAGTCGACTAAAATAATGTTAGAATAACGACGTAACTATTCTTAAATACCACTGGGTTTCCGAGACCAAAATCTATGTAAAAAACATCATCCCTTTATCTTTGACAATACAAGATATAACATATTTTAAACATATATTTTGATCTTAGAGCCACGATAAGTGTGAGAAAATATTACCATGGTTAAACAAAAGCTCTGACATGAACAATTACTTCCTCAAAGTAAATCCTACTAATATAAATGCGAATATTTAGATGGATGGATGGTTAGAAGGTATATCCAGAACGGCTGAACAGATCTCAAAGAAATTTGGTATATATATAGAACATAGTCTGGAAGAACACATAAGCTTTTTTTTATATCATAAGGTGGCAAACAAGCGAGCGGTCACCTGAAATCGCTGAAATAGCGAAGTGACCGTTGCCCATAGACATAAGCAATTGCATATGCGTTGCCTACCTTTAATCGACGGAGGAGAGGATGCACGGTAAGAAAATATTTTCCCTTTCCATGCATCCTCTGATCCGGAAAGTCCACTTCCACTTCCCATCCTTTCCTTATAAGAAAAAGGGTGGGAATGGAAAGAGGACTAATATTGGCCTCCGGGACGCACACTCATCAGACGAAACGCGGAATTGCTTCCACTTGACGCCTGTCTTCTGTGTGGTCGTGGTATTTCACCGGGCGAGCCGGGCCAATACGTGCGAAGATGTTAAAGCGGGCTCTACCACTGTTAAGCTATTTAAATTCCGTTTGGACGGAGTCGCGGGCGACAGCTAACAGTCATAAGTCTTACCGTTACACTGTCAACAATACTATAACTATACTTTAACAGCTTTGTATTACATTTGTGTAATAAATCCGGACAGTAAATTACAAGGGAAAAGTTAAAGCCGCACCGGCTTATCCATGTCAATATACCGACAACCAAAGCTAACCTTTTTATTTATGGATAAAGCTTTTGTTTTGTTATTTTAATATTTACTAAAGTAATTTACATAGAATAGGAAACAACATTAAATATATAACTCAGTATTCATTATATATATATATATATATATATATATATATATATATATATAAATATATATATATATATATGTGTAGGTAGCGTAAGAATAAAAAATAAAACATTTTATAAAAAAAAAATACAAAGTGTAGACAATTTTGTTTCTTACATAGTTTAAAAATATACATAAGCGTCAATAGCCTAATGGTTAAGGGTACGGATTTCCAATCACGAGGTCGGGTTTTCAAATCCCGCCATTCGACTATTGTCGTAAACCATATCCTAGCACAAGCTTAGAGCTTATTTGGAATATTAAAAAAAATCTGCTAATATTTAAAAAAAAACAAAGTTTGGATCAATTTGAGTAAATACCAACTAGATGACGTTGCGTAAAATAAATATTTATTATACTAAGTACACAGTTTATCTTCCATTTAAACGACCCTCAAGACCTTGATAAATTAACTACACACAATAAATCATCCAGACCCTAAACTAAAAGACGTTAAGATAATTCTAGTCCCGTTTAAGATAAATGGGTAATTCATTTACATTCTTTAAAAACTTTGCATAACATTTTCTCATTTTCACATTCAAAATTTTCTATAAGCCAAAAATACTAGAACAATAAC